GGACAATATGACACAGCCCCCATAAACCCGTTGGGTGTAGCATGGTGAGGACAGGATGACATAGCCCCCATCAACCAATTAGGTGTACCATGGTGAGGACAAGATGACATACCCCCATCAACCAGTTGGGTGTACCATGGTGAGGACAATATGACACAGCCCCCATAAACCCGTTGGGTGTAGCATGGTGAGGACAAGATGACATACCCCCCATCAACCAGTTGGGTGTGCCATTATGAGGACAAGATGACATAGCCCCCATCAACCAGTTGGGTGTACCATGGTGAGGACAATATGACACAGCCCCCATAAACCCATTGGGTGTAGCATGGTGAGGACAAGATGACATAGCCCCCATCAACCAGTTGGGTGTACCATGGTAAGGACAATATGACACAGCCCCCATCAACCAATTGGGTGTACTATGATGAGGATTTAACAATACAGGCATCATCAGTCTGTTATGGCTATACTATGGTGAGGATATGACAATATAGCCCAATTAGTCAGTTATGGCTGTAATATGGTGAGGATATGACAATATAGGCCCCATCAGTCAGTTATGGCTGTACCATGGTGAAGATATGACAATATAGTTCCCATCAGCCAGTTATGGCTGTACCATGGTGAAGATATGACAATATAGCCCAATTAGTCAGTTATGGCTGTAATATGGTGAGGATATGACAATATAGGCCCCATCAGTCAGTTATGGCTGTACCATGGTGGGGATATGACAATATAGCCCAATTAGTCAGTTATGGCTGTAATATGGTGAGGATATGACAATATAGTTCCCATCAGTCAGTTATGGCTGTACCATGGCGAGGATATGACAATATAGGCCCCATCAGTCAGTTATGACTGTACCATGGTGGGGATATGACAATATAGGCCCCAACAGTCAGTTATGACTGTAATATGGTGAGGATATGACAATATAGGCCTATCAGTCAGTTATGGCTGTACCATGGTGAAGATATGACAATATAGTTCCCATCAGTCAGTTATGGCTGTACCATGGCGAGGATATGACAATATAGGCCCCATCAGTCAGTTATGACTGTAATATGGTGAAGATATGACAATATAGGCCCAATTAGTCAGTTATGGCTGTACCATGGTGAGGATATGACAATATAGTTCCCATCAGTCAGTTATGGCTGTACCATGGCGAGGATATGACATATAGCCAATTAGTCAGTTATGGCTGTA